GGGAGGAGAAATGGGGGAGGGAGGGGAAGCGGCTTGTAAAGCTAAAGTTATGCTTTAGCGCAAATATCCAATCTCGAAAAAAAATATCAAATAAAGTTTTCACAAACTAATGATTCGATCTTGCTCAATAGTGTAGTGGTTTAAGCAAAYAATTGGCCATATTAATACATGTGACTGACTAACCTTTTCAACATCAACTCTCTTCTGTAGTATCGCAATTATCTTCCTTTCGTACTCAGCCCTGATACTTCTCACAATGTCCATCTCAGAGTTTATTTGCTCCGGAGATCTTTCTTCTCTCTTTGGAGGTACTTGACATTTGTTCTCGTTGGCCAAAGAGCTTTCCTTAGACACTTCACTTAGCAAATAGGCGCCTCTTTCGGCCTTACTTGTTATAGTAGGTGATAAAGGTTTCTTCTGGGATTCCATAGCCGAAGAAGATGATACAGCAAGAAGTGGCAGCTTTATAGGAGAAAACGAACTGTTCTCTGAAGCACCAGGCGCAGCTGTAGTATTGGTGAAGGATATAGATGGTAAAGATGGAAGGATCTTACTCGATATGTTGGACGACGGTCCACTATTGACAGAGATATCAGGAAGACTCAAACCATGCTGTAGTTGTGCTTCGATATATTCTTCGAGACTGACTTCTGACTTGGAATCTTTCCCTTCTTCCATGGGTTCCCCACCAGAAATGACAACATCAGATGCTTTGCTATCCTGTTCTTTACTGTCGCTACAAGTTTGTTCGTCTTTCTGATTCTTCTTGGGGGAGTCTTTGGATGGAGCTGCGGAGGTACTTGAAACAGCCTCACGAGRATCTTTGTTTTCTTCCTTACTTTTGCTGTTCTTACTATCACTAACATTGGCTTCTGTTTGGTCTTTAAGAGTAYAAAGTGTTCCATCAGAAATGACTAAATCATTTGCAGCTGTTTGGGCCATTTGGGTACACGGTACCCCACTGGGTGTGGATGGAYCATTAGTTCTTGTTTGGAACTTAGGGGTATTCGCTTTCTCAGAAAAAGTGACTGAATCATTTGCTGCTGTTTGAACCATTTGGGTACACGGTACCCCACTGGATGTGGATTGACCATTAGCTCTTGTTTGGAYCTTAGGATTATTCGCCTTCTCAGAAAAAGTGGCTGAATCATTTGCTTCTGTTTGAACYATTTGGGTACACGGTACCCCACTGGGTGTGGATGGACCATTAGCTCTTGTTTGGACCTTAGGGGTATTTGCTTTCTCACAGAAAGTTAATGAATCATTTGCTGCTGTTTGAACCACTTGGGTACACGGTACCCCACTGGRTGCGGATGGACCATTAGTTCTTGTTTGGACCTTAGGGGTATTTGCTTTCTCACAGAAAGTGGATGAATCATTTGCTGCTGTTTGAACCACTTGGGTACACGGTACCCCACTGGATGTGGATGGACCATTAGCTCTTGTTTGGACCTTAGGGTTATTCGCTTTCTCAGAAAAAGTGACTGAACCATTTGCTGCTGTTTGAACCATTTGGGTACACGATACACCACTGGGTGTGGATGGACCATTAGCTCTTGTTTGGASCTTAGGATTATTCGCTTTCTCAGAAAAAGTGGCTGAATCATTTGCTKCTGTTTGAACCATTTGGGTACACGGTAACCCGCTGGRTGTGGTTGGCTCATTAGGTCTCGTATGGACCTTAGATATACTCRCTTTCCCACAGGAAGCAGCTGAACCATTTGCTGATGTTTGTATACAAGGTATACCACAGGGTGTGGCTGGAGATTGTGCAACACCTCGGTTGCTAGAATCGCTYACTGCAGCATTGTCAGCGCATGGACTAATTTGTCCTCCAATACTTTCACAACCCTCATCAATAAGAATGTTGTTTTCTTCTCTCTTTCTCTTCCCTTGAAGTGGAAGGCAGCAAGTAATCCCTTGTCCAACATCATTAAGCGTACGGGTCGCACTCTGGTCATCTATTTTCTTATCGGTGTTTTTTGTCTCGATATCACTGGTTCCCATGACTAACAAATTGGAGGTGTACGAATCAAAATTGCTTTCTATATTTTCTTTAACCGTCGACCAAACATTTTTCTGTTCTTCAAATAAATTTTTCTCGTCACCCTGTTTTTCATTATTTGGCTGTCCATCTCGCGACCAATCATTCTTGCCCTGATCAAATTCATTATTTTCATTATCTTGTCTTTCCTTTTTTGGCTGTCTATCTTGGTCCTTTGACAAGCGATCGTTCTTTCCCTTMATTTTGATTAGTTGAACTTCGCCGGCTCCAGAATCAGTGATAACGATCTTTCCTGTCATATCCTCTGTTAGCCGTCCGTCAGACATTTCTCTATCTTGTTCACATACTTCATGACTAGATTTTTCTTGGCGGCTTTTCACTGTGGCCGACGAGATAACACTATCTTTTACTAAAGTATGACTCACATCCTGACTCGACTTGCAAGCGTCTTCACCAGTAGTCCCTCGACCATCTTCTTTGCAACTGTTCTTTTCATTTTCTCTGTCCTTTTCTTTGATAATTGACTTAACGAGAATCACTYCCAAGGAGTCGCTAGTTTTCCTTGTTTCGTTCGTGAGGGGTTCAGCAACAGTTTCTTCAATAATACATTCAAAATTATCATTGTCTTTAAGGTTCTCAAACACTGAACTGGCTTTGTCAGCTATCAAGGGTTTCTCATTTTCCTCTGACATTCCGATGTCTAGATTAGCGGAGGTCGATAAACGATTTTCTTTGTCACATGCTTGTGCATCCTGCTTGTTTGTCCGGATATTATTTCCTGAATTAACGATAYTTACTTCCATGCGCTCATTAACAGTCTCCTGAGCACAAGTCGGGCGAGTCCCAAAGACAGTTGCACTGTGCATTTCTGTTTTTGAATCTTCCTGCTTCTCAATCGCTGAGCTAACAACATTTTCACTCACTACCACGTCATTATCTACCACTGTGGGCCTTCCACGGTCATCGTCAGCTTGAACATTTTCGTYTTCACTTGCCGCCTCTTTAATAGCTACACTCATTGTATTATTCATTCCTAAATTATTATCGATTTTCTTTGATCCAGTCACCACAAAACTGTTGATAATATCTTTTCCTCCGCCGATGCACTTTACAGCTAATTCGATGCTTTCACTTTTATCATTCATTGATCTGACATTTAAATTCTGGTTGGCTCTTAGCGTGTCTCGAGCTTCCTCATCCATGGCCTTGACCGCATTCACACTTCCTCTTTCATCAGCAGAATTATCAAGATCATCACTTAATGTTATATGCACTCGTGTCTCTCGTGGTTGTGAAGGCTTCAAACTTTTTGTCAAATTCATTTTATCGTTCCCAGACAATTCCTCCGCTTTAGCAAGTTTTCTTTTCATCCTATCCACTTTTTCAGCTAAATTGAAACTTCTCGTCTTTTCGAAACATCCTGGTTTAGGAGATCCTTTATCGTTATTAATGGACGACGCGCGTGGTACTTTATCTGATTTGGATCTATTAATGCTTTCTTCCAGGGCCAACTCAAGAAGTTCGTGTCCTTCATCGAGTAAATGGTTCTCATCGACGGYTTCTTTAACCTTCGTTATGCTATTTGTTCCAGCTGATGATTCAGGTGACTTGGTCCTGTTGGAAGATTTAGGCGACTTTCGATGTATGTCTTTCAGGATGCTTTTCAACTCATTCAGCACAGTAAATGAACTTCCCGCCGCGCTATCCCCTTCCTGAACTTTCTGTTTGACTGCAGAACCTTTACGTTCGCTTTTCCTTCGACTAGAATCCTTATTGTGTTCACTAGATTTTCTTCCTGTCTTGCACCTTGCAGGACTCACAGGTTTCTTGAACTTTTCTTCCCTGCTATTCYTTCTCGCCGATAGCGTGTTTTTGTTGGGATGGGCTGTGTCGATCCTTGGGGTCTCTGGTGAACTTCTCTTTTCGGTCAAAGATCTTGGAGAAAGCTTAGACTTTTTGAGCGGCAGAGTACTTTTGTCTTGTGCTGATTCCTTCTCATTTGTTTCTGAAACAGCACGACGCTTCACACTCTCTTTTTTCTTGGGTAAAGACTTTTGTTCATTTGTTGGGGATTTTTTCTTAGTTTTAGAGCTAGCATGAACCACCTTTTTCCCAACCTCGTCTTCTTTAGCTCTCTTGTTCGTACAAGGCATTGCTACAAAGCTCTTGAGAGGTTTTCGCTTGCAGCCCGTTGCGTTTTCCTCTCTTAACTTATGATCCTTCCCACGAGTTATTGCAGACTTTGTACTTGTAGAAGGGGCCAATWTCTGCAAAGTATGGGGCCTGTCGCCTTTCTCGATGCTGAATTCCTTGTCTTTTGTTGTGGTTGTAACTCGCTTGTCATCGCTTTTTGACCTTGAATGGACGCGTGCGCTGTTTCTGTTAGAACTTCTCCTTGCTGCAGTGGACTTGGATAGCCGAACAAAACTCTCAGRACGGTAAGCTTCTGGATTTGTTTGCCCAGCATCATCATTAGAAGACTCCTTATCCAAGCTGGAGTAGCCAACGTAACTCTCTAAACAAACTTTCTTTTCACTGGGCTTCTTTTTTAAGCTCAAACTCAAGGGAATGTTTTGGTTGGAAGAAAATTCAGGRCTCGAGACACCAGTAGACACCTCATTGTCTGCTTCGTTTCCAGATACACTCGACGTGCTCATATCTACTGGGCAGTGAGACTCGGGGTTATAAGCAGACGAATCACTCGTATATTTACAGCTGAACAGCTCTGGATCCGATTCATCGCCTGACAGCGACAATACAGGAGAGTACGCTCCTGGGGTGTATGGTTCCGAATCGTTCTCAGGAGATCTGGAGTACACTTCAGGGGTATAAGGTTCTGAGTCATCGTCCACCACGCCCACAAGGGTAGTATCAGCTTCTGTGACGTCATACTCTAAAGCGCTACTGGACGGTGTATCTAGTGACATGCCGGATAGTTCAGAGAACGTGTCTACATCCATGAGGCAATTTGCAGGATCGTATGGCTTTTGGCTCTCGAGATCATTATCTTCATATTCTTTTGGAACAATCAAACTAGTAGACTGAGATTCTGAAAAAATATCTGAGAGCGAATCTCGGTGGCCGRCAACATATTCTGGATGCCCAGAGCTTGCAGAGCTCGTATATGGGAGTTCCAAAGACATATCAGAGAGTGACACTTGGGTTAAAGATTCGCATTCAGGATCATAAGGCTGGGCGGCTCGTAGTACAGAATCATTCGAGTCAGACAAGAAAGAATAGCTTGTTTCTGAGGAAGACGTAATGATATACTGCCCATCTTTTTGAGAACACCTTCTAAACTCTTCTCTAAGCTTCAACATCATCTCGGATTGCCTTCGTCGTGGTGATTTCTTTTTACAGTTGTCGTTCCCGTCTTCAGTATTCCCGTCATTCTCTGAGAGATTTGTGTCTGCAGTATACCAAGGCATTTCTCTTGAGGAATCGTTCGAGGAATCAAACTTCTCTTTGCTACAGGCATCATCCTCAGACATATTATCTTCAGCAGAGATAGTTCGGTTGGAATTCTCCCCTGTTCCAGTATCTTCGCTTTTTCCAACTGGCTGCTCTCCTTCAAAATACTGCACTTCATCTATATACATCAGATCYGGATCATCAGAGGACTCGAGCTTGAATTCCATGACCGTTGTACGACGATTTCTTTGCGTATTTTCCACGAGTACGCTCGAACAATATGACTCTGGTTCCCTAGTAGGCAGATTTTTAGAGGATGCCAAAGACCAATTTCTCGCAGCCATTCTGTCAAACAAACCTTGATCAGCTCTAGGCGTGTCACTCTCGCTATCTGATTCTTGTGTAGTTTCTTTCTCACTCTCTTTTGACTTACCAGAAGAAAAACCTGTCGAAGTGCTAGACTCGTCTGCGGACATTCCAACATTGTTTTGCACTATAGTGATTTCAATAACTGCCTCGGGGTTTTGTTCTTCGACCGGGTCATTAMATTCAACGGATTCACATTCAGGTGCAGTTCGTTGTGTTGTGTTTTCTTGCCACGTAAGAGCCTGCATTGAGCCCTGTTGTACATTCAGTCGGCATGAAATTTCTTCTTGTGAAGAAACTTGATATTCATCACTTATAGGCGAGAAAATTAAATTTATTTGATTTTGAACAACCCTACTTTCTTCAATAGCGTATTCTCCACGAGTTAAAGSGGCAGTAGCGGTACCAATGGCTGCTCTCGGATTTCTTGCATTTCTTGTGATATGGGTTGTAGCCAAATCTTCCTGGCCTAATGTACCAGCTTGCAAGTTGTGGTACAACTGGCTTGTTTCTTGATCCCCAGTGATCGATGTTGGACAAAGTACCCGTTGCAGTTGAAAGTCGACACATTGGTAAATACAAATGTGATTTGCATCGATATCCGATGGTAGGAAAATCTCAGTTGCTGCGCCAAGGATCTGATATTCTTCTTGAAGGATCATTTCGTAGGATGGCTTTGCGTCGTCAGAAGTTTTATCATTGTTACAAAATACTATAATACACTCTTGTGTGTCAAGGGAGTCGTGTTCGATTTGCATTCCATCTTTTTCTGGTAGACTCGGACTACAGTTATAGTGTTCTTTTTCAGCTATGGTACCGGTACTCCCACCATCTCCCACGACCCTGTTAAAGTCACTTTTTTCATAATCATTCGACTGCAAATGCGGCTCATATTCAGAATCAATGCTCTCGTTACTTTCATTAATAACAGGCTGAACCAACTCTAGAGGAACATCACCATCATCATAATCTTGCTCATTTGMGACGTCACAATCATTCGTTGGTATACACACATCAGTTTCCAAACTGCTACTTTTGTTAATATCCGGATGATACAAATCTTGAATGACTTCATGACTATGATAATCTTGATCAGCATTGTCACAATTTTTCGTTGGTGTTCGAACATCGGTTTTCGAACCACTACTTCCGTTAATATCGGGATGATGCAAATTTTGAATGACTTCATCAGCATGATAATCATGCGCATTTGTGACGTCATAATCTTTTGTCGGAATATGTGGATCATATTCTGAACCGCTACTTTTGTTAAGATCGGGATGACACAAATCTTGAATTACATTATCAGTACGACCATAATGCGCATTTGTAACGTCATAATCTTTTGTTGGAATACGTGGATCATATTCTGAACCGCTACTTTTGTTAAGATCGGRATGATGCAAATCTTGAATTACATTATCAGTACGACCATAATGCGCATAGTCTTGCTCAGTAACGTCACCAACTTTCATTGGTGTATGTACATCGGTTTCCGAATTTCTACTCTTGCAAAGATCGGGATGACGCACATCTTGAATGACATCATCAACTTGATAATTTTTCTCATTTGTGACGTCATTATCTTTCGCGAGTATAACTACCTCACTTTCCGAACCGCTCCTTTGGTTGAGATCGGGGCTACGCAAATCTTGAATGACATCATCACTATGATAATCTTGCTCATTTGTGACGTCATTATCTTTCGCAAGTATAACTACAGCACTTTCCGAACCGCTCCTTTGGTTGAGATCGTGGCTACCCAAATCTTGAATGACATCAYCACTATGACAATCTTGCTCATTTGTGACGACATGATCTTTCGCCGATACAAGTACATCAGTTTCCGAACCACTATTTTTGTTAAGATCGAGATGAATCAAATTTTTAATGACATCATCACTCCGATAATCTTCCTCATTCATGACGTCACAATCTTTCGTCGGGATATGTACATCAATTTCTGAACCACTACTTTTGTTAAGCTCGAGATGAAGCAACTCTTGGATGTCATCGCTAGCATGGTTTACTTGCGAGGAAACATTATCTTTCGTAGGTAAAGTTGGATCATATTCAGACCCACTACTCTTKTTCAAAATTTCCGGGGAGCGATTTGACTGCTGCATTTCTTCATCATCATACTGAGTCTGAGTCTGTGCAATTATGATGCAATCTTTCGTAGGTAAAGATGGGTCATATTCAGAACTACTACTTCTGTTCAAAATATCCGCGGAGTCATTTATCTTTTGCACGTCATCTTTACCATCAGTATACTGCTTTGGTTCATTTACAGTGGAATAATCCTTCGTCGGCAAAGCAGGATCATACTCCGAACCACTACTTTTGTTCAGCAGATCGGCAGAGTGATTTTCCTCTTGCAGTTCATTATTATCTTCAGAGCAATGGCTATTATGTTCATTTACAGTGGGATGATCTTTTGCAGATAGAGCAGGATCATACACCAAACCACTACTTTTGTTAACCAGATAGGCAGAGTGATTTGCCTCTTGCAGTTCATTATTATTTTCATGACAAGGGACATTCTGTACATTTACGATTGCATACTGGTTCGTAGGTAAAGCAGAATCATACTGCGACCCATTCAATTTTTGAGCTTCGTTTTCTCCATAAGTAAAGATTGGACTGCTTAGGTCGTAATGTTGAATTTCACATTCATCTGATCCTTGGCACTTTTTATTTACAGAGAAATCTTTAACAGACTGTTTGACGACAGTTTGGGAGGATACTTGTGTTCCTATAGCTCGGCCATCCTCAGGGCTTATTCTCTTATCGCACTCGCATAAATTATCAAAGTTATTGGTTGCTATATTATCCTCTGCAGTACCTATACTGGGATCTTCGTCAGAGTGTCTTTTCCGATCGCACTCGCACGTACTCTGATCGTAGTTAATGGTGATTGCTTTTTTATCTTCTGCAGTAGTAACATCGCTTTSATTTATATCTCTCGTGCCTATACTGGGATCTTCGTCAGAACGTCTTTTCCGATCGCTCTCGCACGTAATCTGATCGCAGTCAATGGTGGTTGTTATATTATCTTGCATGGGTGCATGGGTGTTATCGCTTTGACTGAAATCTTTCGTACCTATGTTGTCAGTAAACTGCGACCTATCACTGCTTTCCTGTTCGGTATTTTCAGCCAAGTCTTCCTTTTCAGTATTGGGAATGCCTATGACGTCTTGTTCATTTTCATGACCGTTTTGCGCATCTCTGTCGTATGAAAAACCATTGACTTCAGTAACCTCTTGTTCTCCCCGAAAATCGTCTYTGCCAGCAACTCCATCCTGTCCTAATATCCCAGTTTTGTTAAAATCAAAGTTTTCAGAATGTTTAGTGTCAACATTAATTTCGTCATTATTAAAGCTRTCAAGCGCCAGAATGACGTCATAACCATTAGACATCTCGGGTGCATCCTCTTCAAAGTCATCGTAGTATTCGTAATCTTCAACATCTTTTGCAYTTCCATGCTTATATTGATGGTCATTTGTGGATGGAGGGTATTCTGAACTGCRACTTGCTTTAACCTCTGAAAATGCAGCTTCAGACATTGCATCGCCATAATAGGCATATTGCTGCCCAAAACCGCCATTCTTGTGCTGCTTGCCAAAGTCATTTGTTTTATAAAAATTGTCTTCTTCACTTGTCGTTTTATAAGATTCTCCGTCTGAGCTAAGAGATTCTCCTTCCCCGCTTTCGGAAGTCGTTTCTTCTTCATCGTCAGAAGATTGRTATTCTTGCTCTGAGAGTCCTGAGAAACTTTCCATCACACCATCGCTAGTTCCTGCAAACTGTTYATATTCCTGGAAAAATTCTTGTTTACTGTCTTGCTGTTCTTCTTTGTGATGTTCTGAAAAGCTTTCTGTTAAATCATCAGTACTCTTCTCTGGAAAGTGATCATTAACTTCATGGGAAAATTCTGCAGCTTCATAACGAAAAATTGGCTGAACTTCTTGAGAAGATTGTGAACCATTATCTTTTATCGTACCATTTTTTGGAAAATATTCGTTTTCTTGGGAAAATTCTTCCCCTAGCTCCCTGTAAGATTGTTGCTCTTGGCAAAGTGGCTGATTTTCTTCATGTCGTGAAGTGCTCTTCCTTAAAACGTCACTGTCCTCTGTACAGTGCTCAAGTTCATGAGAATATTCTTGCCCATAGTAATTAACTGGCTGATCTTTTTCATACTGCTCTGAWGTGTTTTCTCTTACGGCATAGCTCTCCTCTGTATAGTGTCCAAGTTCCTGGTAAGATTGCTGCTTATAATGAGGAATATGCTGTTGTTCTTCGTAGGGTTCTGAAGTGTTTTCTCTTACCGTATTGCTCTCCTCTGGATAGGTCCCAAGTTCCTGGAACGGTTGTTGCTCATAGTGAAGAACATGCTGTTCTGAAGTGTTCTCCCTTACGGTATCGCTYTCCTCTTGAAAGTGCCTACTTTCGTGAGAACATTCTTCGTCATAACAAGAAAGTGGTTGTTCTTCTCTATGAGGGTTGTCTCTTACGTCACTTTCCTCTGCATCGTACTGAACTTCATGGGAACATTCTTGCTCATAATACAAAAGTGGCTGATCTTCCTCATAATGCTCTGGATGGTTCTCTCTTACAGCGTCACTTTCCTCTGCATCGTACCGAAGTTCCTTTGAATATTCTTGCTCGTAGTGAGAAAGTGGCTGATCTTCATCATAATGCTCTGGATGGTTCTCTCTTACGACGTCATACTCCACTGCATCGTACTGAACTTCATGGGAACATTCTTGATCGTAGTGAGAAAGTGGCTGATCTTCATCATAATGCTCTGGATGGTTCTCTCTTACGGCGTCACTTTCCTTTGCATCGTACCGAAGTTCCTTGGAATATTCTTGCTCGTAGTGAGAAAGTGGCTGATGTTCATCATAATGGTCTGAATGGTTCTCTCTTACGACGTCATATTCCTCTGCATCGTACTGAACTTCATGGGAACATTCTTGCTCATAGTAAGAAAGTGGCTGATCTTCATCATAATGGTCTGAATGGTTCTCTCTTACGACATCACTTTTCTCTGCATCGTACTGAACTTCATGGGAAMATTCTTGCTCGTAGTGAGAAAGTGCTTGATCTTCATCATAATGGTCTGGATGGTTCTCTCTTATGGCGTCACTTTCCTTTGCATCGTACCGAAGTTCCTGGGAACATTCTTTCTCGTAATGAGATAGTGGCTGATCTTCATCATAATGCTCTAAAAAGTTCTCAGTCATTACGATGTCACATTCCTCTGCATCGTACCGAAGTTCCTTGGAACATCCTTGCTCATAGTGAGAAAACGACTTTTGCTCCTCTTCATAATGCTCCGAAAARTTCTTTTTTACGGCATCGCTCTCTACTTTTACCAAGTCTCGGTAAGATGCTTCGCCATGCTGCAAAAATTGCTGTTCGTTTTCATAATATTCTGAAGAGGTCACCCACGCACCATTACGTTCCTCTTTAAGACGCTCACTCTCCTGAATATCCTCTAAATCTGCTTTCGTCTCYTGGTATTTACCCAATGACGAGACATTATCAAGGATGTGTTGCTTCGAGACGTTTTCTTCTGTTTGCTGCGAATAATTACAATTCTCGTTATGATCAACCGAAGAGCTTGCAGCATCAGCAGCATCCTGGTCAGCTTCGAAACAATTTACATCTTTAGTTAATTCTTCTGGTCTTTGAGGTTCGTCAGCAGCATGACTACTGTYCTGGGATTCGAATGWGTTGTCCACGACTTCGACTGTTGAGAGACTAYCATYATCTTYTTTAARGAGAGGACGGTTGGGRCGTACAGGGGGATTTGCCATACCTTCAGACACGACTTCAAGCACAACCTGAAAAATAAATGTTTGCATTTGAGGCAAATTAATCAAAYCATCGTTCCAATCGACATGTCAACATCAATCTGCCCAATATAAGAAATCTTACGAATTAAAAGTTTATATCGTAAATTGCCTTCTGAAAGAAAAATCTATATTACCGAAGCAATTTACAGATATTCAGTTCAGTTTCCGCGCTTTGCTACAAAAAGGAAGACGCTGTCATAGCAATTGAATCGCAAGGAATAGTTTATTTTCGCGGCACTCCTTACAGACATTTATACTACAGTTGGTAGTAGTTGTTGAGACATCCTATTTTAACAATGTTGCAATGAGAACGTGTAACAAAGCTTCCAGCAATACTAATTAAAAAGAGAAAAATTCCCAACCATYTTTATCATTGTACCTGACTATTTTCTTAGAAAATAATCAACAAAATTAGTTTAAACTTACATTAGAATTCCCAGAACTTTCTTTTTCGTTGCCTAACTTCTTTTTTCCTTTTTCTTTGTAAAGCGATAGGTGCAAGGTTCTTGGATGACTCTTMTCGTTGCCGTAATCTAGAATTACTTGACGTCTCATGACTACTTTACGACAAGCGTGGCCTGTAGGGGCAGGCGGTGCACTCTCTTCGTTTGTACTTGCTTCTGAGTCTGRGTAAGACAATTCAACCATGCCGTCGGTTCTGCCTGGGATGTTGAGTTTGGGGTGAGCAAAAATAGCTGAAACAATTCATTATGTAGTGACATTCTTCAAAGCAGTTAAGCAAGAGAGYCTCTAGAAGGCAGGATATATATACAGGGGCGGATACAGGGGGAGGGGGGTTCCAAATCAAGAAATGTATATATAGAGATATCATGCATCGTAAATATTTCTTTTGCTTCAAAAAAGCTAAGAGTAATTTACGGTGTTAGGGAAGTGTCCATTGCACTGCAGGATACCACCTGGATTCGTCACTGGTATACAAGTAATTTAATGAAAAATTCAGTAAGGTCATCGATATTGAGCCCATTAAGTAAGCGGCCAAGCCCGTTCCATATCTATTTTACGAGTCCTAAAAGAGAAACCTTAACCAAAGCGAAACGATGAGCATTTTTCATTAACAAACTCTCCTTCTACACTGCAGCAAACTGAATGCAATGAAGTAGGTAAACTTTACTTACCTCGTCTTTCGCTACTGACTTGAAATTGTTGTTCGGTTCGAGGARGAGACATCAGTAGTGTTTCGTTCTTCTCGGCCAGGTTTTCATCGAGGGATGGAGTAGTTTCTTTTTGTTGTCTCAATCGACGTGACATGATTAAGAGCCGCAAGTCATCAGCCAGGAGCTCCACTTTGGGTTTCTCGACCGCACCCAGAAGGGTTGAAGGTGCACGTCCGCTACAAATACTGACCTTTCTTTTGAGCACCTCCGAGGTCCTCACAGGCTGACTAGTCGCAACAGATTGTGGTTCAGCATTGGGTGTGATACTTACCTGTTTGGCACGAGATTTAATGACGGGGTCTGGGGTTATGCTTCTCTTTACTTGCGCGGATTGAATTTCGACTTCTTCTTTATTCTTGGTACAGCTTTCGTGAAGGTCTTGGAATTTCTTAGCTGGTATCTGCACAATGCTTCGAATAGCAGGTGGGTYGTTGTCGATTATTCTCGTCGAAATTGCCGTACTGGGACGCTCTTCRTAATCAGAGACGGAATGTTCAAAGTGAAGTGGTTTTCTTTCTACAGCCGCTGCGCGTGAATCACTGAGTTCATCCCTAAGATCACGCTCTCCACAAGAATTCCGTGACGAGGTGCAGTCACGAAACSCTATGTCACTACTTCTAGTTCTTTTATATTCTGACTCGCGACTGGAGTACTTTGTARAGTTGAAGATATCACGTGACAAGAATTGATCACGAGTGATGAGCTGGGCATTGGGTATTTCTTGGCTCTTGAGAGAAGCATTGGGTTGTCTTACATCGCATTTTCGTCTTTTTGTTCCATTCAATTCGTACGTAGACATTTTTCTCTTCGGGTTTTTCTCGTGGGTCGGTGCTTTTCCGCTGAAAGGAGGGCTCTTTCTCGCAGGGGAAYTACTGTGAGAATGAGCTATAAATGGAAAAAAGTGAAAAATTATCGACCGTACTAAAATGTATAGAAAACTAAGACGCTGAACGCTTAAATCAATCTGTCTTTTCTCGTGAGAAATTGTGTTCTGCGTCGTTCTGACCTCGATATAAAAGACTGACTCTACATAATATGTGAAATCAAATTTCATATATTTGTTTGACTTCACAAACTCACACCAAGATGATTATAACAGAGATCATGAGCACTAACAAATATTTCCGTTCCAGATTTTCCTCTTACCAAATATCGACTATTACTGTAGTGTAACATAATTCTAACCTTTTCTGGGGATACCTGGACTTTTAGAACGCGTTCCACCTCGCTGTCGTTGACTATGGCGACTAAGACTTTTATAATGATCTCGTGATAATCTTCGCGGCTCTCCCTTAAATCGCGGAACACCTCCTTCTGGTCTTCTCTGTGGTTCATTGTCATAACTTCTCATACCAGGTCTTGTAAATCTCTCATCTTTTACTAACCRACTCGAATATGAGTGTTTATTTTTATCATCATGGCTAAATTCTCTGCCTCTTCTATCTCGTCCCCTTTCTGAAGAATATGCCCTTCCGTGTGAATCATATTCATCCATTTGCTTGCGTAATTCTCTCTCAGTACAGCGTCGATGGCGATCACGATATCCATATAAGATGTCTTCGCTCCTTTTGTCATCATCGTTTCTGCTATCTCGTTGGTAGTAAGGATCATTGCGCGCGTGTTCGCTGCGGTAACCATGACGCCGAGGATCAGTGTTGTCATGGTAATCTAGCTCTTCCGTCGTAGATCTTCTCTCATTACGCCGATAACTAWAATCATCAGCGTTATCACTACGATGATAATCATCATCATCATTGCGACGTGACCTATAGTCACGATCACGTGATCTCTCTTCGATCCGGTATTCATGTGATCTCTCTTCGACCCGGTATTCACGTGATCTTTCATCGACCCGGTAGTCACGTGATCTGAGCCCTCCACCATGGTCACGTGATCTGTCATCGTTTAGGATCACAGGTTCCAAAACGCGAAGACTTCTTAAGCAACGTTCCTTTTCTCTACTCACGTCAGCGTGCTCTAGTTTGCGTTGCTGTCTTATGTATTCATCTACGCTATCAAAATATCTAGATTCACGTAATGACGCTTCAGAATCTAGATCTCTTAAGCTTTCTTTATTTCGAATGAAATCCTGAAGAAGTGGTGGTGGTGATAGTTTTTTATTTTCTCTCTGCAATAGTAAGAGATGATCATTAATTTGGGAGCTGTTTCTGTTATGCACATTTGTCAAGACTGTCATGGTGCCCCATTGGAATTTTTTGTAATGCTTCCTAAGTTTCACCTCTCATAACTACTGATGTGGGTTTAATCCCTGGACAGCAAGTCCAGAGAAAGGCATGTGGAAAACATTATGCACAAGCTGAAGAGAATACTTACTTCCCTCTCTCCTCATAAATTCTACACTAGTCCTTGCATCATCTTCAAAGGTAGCTGTGCCTTTGCATCCAAGTGAGACAAATGATGAGCTTGCAATGATAGAGACATTTGAGTAACTGTTCAAGGTGTTAAAAAAAAGGTCTCTATCATTGCAAGCTCACTGTTTGTCTTGCTTCRATACAAAGSCGTGGCTACCTTTCAAGATGGTGCAGGGAACAGTAAAAGGAATTATTACAAACACATCTTAATATCTTCCATGCATACTGCAAGCAATCCCACATTTCCTTACAGACTCTGTAAAGAGGCATTTTCGGATTCCTGTGGATGCTCAGAGGTTTCTCTCAGACTACTCAGCTCCAACTTCTGCARTTCAGTACTCTGTCTGGAGGGAAAAGTGGGACTGTTGCAGTTATAAAGTAACATTGTCATTAAGATATTTTTGTCCTTTATTCTGATAAAAAAAATTCAAAACAAAATGAAACAAAGATTTCTCAATCACAATGGGTAACTTAATGCTGCCCAAAGAGTGATTTAATATACCTTTCCCAGGCACACCCACCCCTTTGAAATTCCAGTACTCCTGGATGAGGGAAGCATTGATGTTTTTTAGAACCAACACTAATATTTTAGACTTGTACACCTTATCATTATAAGGGTGCCTGAAACTACATCCTCTCTCAAACCCTCTCCCAACAAGGTAAATTAGAATTTCAATAGTATTAATGGCAATTATAAAATTTATAATTATTAGAACTTCATACCTCAAAATGCCTATATTCACCATCCTGTTCTCTAAGGTCTTGGTTCCTATCTCTATAATCTATGTATTCTCTTCTCTCATTCTCCAAATAGCCCTCATTTTCATCATACAATGAATGTCCAGTGTCATTGCAATAACCAGWAGTTGGATGGTCATAGGGGTCATCAAAATGTCTCCTCTGGGAAATAAGGTCTGTTTCTTCCCAGGAGCTGTGTCGCTCACGGTAAGGGGAAGGAGTTCTGTATGATGTCATTATTTATTGATATARACCTATAAATGATAAACATATAATAATCACTTATTAAGAGATATTAATTCAAAAGAATTAGAGACAAGCAGAGAAGATCTTGGTTAAAATTAAAGTTTTAAAGTTTTTAAAGTTTTGGTTTAAAAAATCACATCAAAATTATAATTATTTTAAGWTATAATTTGTATAGGAAATCGCACGATCTTCTTGTACAATTTGGAAATTAATAGACACGAGTAATGTTTTGAAAGTTCTTGTAATTGCACGAGCCTTTAGGCGAGTGCAATTAAAGAATTTTCAAAACATTATGAGTGTCTATTAATTCCAAATTGTACGAGAAGATCGTGCGATTTTTTGTTTATAGTTCACTCAACAAAATTTCAGTAAAAAATGCGAAGCGACGCCGTTCATCTTTGTCTATTTGGCGTCCGATTWTCAGTCCATCGCGCAACTGAAATGCATAAAAAAGATTAGTTCTTACGGCTTTATAATTTTATTCATGTTTTTTTAAGTACAAAATGCTAGAATATAATTGTTTTGGCCGTGTTGCCATAGCGACTTAATTCGGTACTCCTACGGAGTACAATTAACGCTATAATTGTACTCCTCTCAACCAATCAGAGTCGAGTAATTTTGTTGAGTGTATTATAAGTTGGTAAATSTATGAATAAGAGAAGAGGTTGAAACACTACCTTACATTTACAAACATGACATTGAAATAAAGTACTTAAACAAGACATAGTTAATAGAGGGTAATTAACTATGAACAAGATCATGACATGACACAAAGTAAATCCAAACAACAATCATAAAARCCCTCGARCTTCTAAGCTTGTTTAAATTCTAGCTCTTTGTTTTCACTCAAAAGGTCTAATCGCTTTTGCTCTTGTAATATAAACAATGTATTTAACAAAAGGAGCTCTTGTGWAAATCATATAAGCAAATATTAAATTACTATCATTTACATCTCGGTTCTATGCGAATACTATTTAAAACAGATTAATTTAAAGCCTTAAAGACTTAAATAAAYTTTAAAATCACATTTTTATCCTCTGAGAAAATATGGGATTAAGTAATTTATAAAATGAAACCAAAATTTTCAATTTTTTTGCTGTGATGAGCACAAACTGACGTTGCGCGATCATAAAATAGTTTCTTCGTAAGAATTGTAAAATATTTCGATATCAAACCTCAAGGAATTAAAAAGTAATTCATAGAAACAAAGAATGCAAGCTTATTAATGTTTATCCATCCATCTAATTTGACATGAATTTTAAAATTTCATAAGCTGGAATAAATGTTGATCGTTTAACTTTGAATTTGACATCTTAGCTGACCTCAAGACAGCTCATGTCTTCAGTATCGTTGAACTCGAATCTGCAGTCGTTTATTATAATGAAAAGATCTTTGTTCATTTTAATTCCATGCTTAAAAACGATTACAATCATAATCGTACAACATATTTTTACTGGCAAATGTTTGAATCGGACTGCTTTTCCGCTTACCTGAACGAGGTTTCAAATAGACGTCAAACCTGACCAAATCTTGAATGAAAGTCTAGTCGTTGAAGTGACGATATTTTGAACGGTAAAGCCTTGTCGAGTCTAAGAAATCCTAGACCTCGGTYGTGAATCTTTCATTCAGTAAATATTAAAGAAAATAAGTGCAAGACTCTTAAATAACAGTAGGGATGCGCGGTTAATCGTCTCCTTCCGTCAATCCAACCTTTTTAGTTTGTTTACTTTCCAGTCACGTGTTCTTTTCCAGCTTTATATGGTATGTTTGGATATTAGGTTTCAAGGCACTAGCATTTGCTTAGTTTTTTTGTCATAAACTTTTTTTCCATAGAACRTTAGTTAAACACGAAGAGATCTTCGAAAATATCGCAAACCTTTTTCGGGCATCCAGTTTTATAGCATCAAGTGCACGGGGGAATTTTTTGGACCAATCCCTCCCCGACCCCTCATCCATCATTTCGGGGACACTGGAAAATTAATGCCCAAAAAATTATTTTTAAGTGCTAGAAATAAGAAGAATTATTTTCACTAGCAGCAAAAGTAAATAGTCATAAGAATGAATATTTATTCACGTCAAAAAATACCTCTTGCTAACCTAAGTAGAGAGGGGGAAGGTTTTGTCAGCTAAGCGTCAAAACGTACTGTCGCTTCCCTAGAGAGGAACAGTTTCGTCCTTACGTACAATACACGTGAGAGTATGTGGACCGCGTGGCACTAATGAAATAGTAGAAGATAATATAGGTAAGTTGTAGTGCTTGGGAACGAGGTTATTCCGGGCGAAAGCCCTTGGAATTAAATTCTCCGACCTCGCTGGTCACACGTGGCTTTACTACTCTTACGAAGCCGGTTTTTGGCTTGAATTCCTTTTTGTAAATTTKAAGTTTTGTGTATTTTGTGGTAAAGTAGTGTAGTTGAAATCAATTAATTAAGGCCAAATGGATGCGAAAAATTCCGCTCTTTGTCCACGAAGATCAGCAGAATTAATTTCAACAAACAGCAAAGATGTGTCCATATCCCAACATGGCGTCGTCAACACCTCCAAAATAATCTTCGACTGCCTGAAAACGAATAAATACAGCTTCAAAGTATGGAAAGAGCACGAATTGCATCCTAAAGAAATGAATAAGGAGACAGTTGATTGGATATTTGTTCTGGACTGTTTAAATTTTTCGTTTTGGGTGGACGATGAATACGAGCCATGGAAGGTGAGCTTCGAGGGCAAGGATTACGAAGGTTACTGGGCCCTTTGTGCTGGTATAAATAGAGCTTTAAAGGTAAGAAATCTTTTATAACTGATAGTCTCTTAACTTAACACCATTTTGTTGATGAGAAGGCTCTTTTTCGAAGTCAAATTCGTTAWTAGTAAGGCATGACTGGTTGAAAATTTTTAGTATTTATGAACAAATGACGTCATAAGCACTTCTAACAGCTGAAAGCATGTACAGTCAATCACAGGTAGCCCAAGCTTGGTTTCYGTGGTGTCCTGTTATAAGGAAATGTATGGGGAATCATCAAACATTTCAATAAAATCATCAAAACGTGMAAWAAAGCCTCGAAATTTTACCCTATCATTGMGAAATAGCACTTCTTTCGCTCTGCGTGGTTATTTTTTGAATTTAGCCCGTTTTAAGGATTTTTTCCCTCACCAGTAAGAAATAATAACTGGTGTACAGTGAGCTCCAAGTACGGGTCAGAACAAGCGAGGTAGTATGTGAATACAGGCAAATTTCATGGCTTAAAGACGCGAAGACTAACCTCTAATGCAACTTTCTCGGTTCTATAGGGATGCGAGAGAAGGGTCATGACTAAAATTTGGCTCTGGAAAGAAAATTCAAAGACGTACGAGGTTTCAAAGACCCGTGATGGTTTGCTTTCACCCGTCCCGTACGTTGTGAGTCAGTGCTTACTGAAAGTTGTAAAGTCCTTGTAACCAGATGTTACTGACCTTTGTAAAAAGCGATAAAGCTAGCGCCCAACCTCTTCTGGGTTTGCCGAATGGAACGCCTGTTGACCCCTGCAAATACTGTATTCCTTACCTTTTTACACAGCCWGTATTGCTAAAATCATCCCATATAGTTCGTGTTTCTGACAGATTTTGATCGCAGTTATATATCATCAAGGTAAGGTACTTCCACATTCGTACGAGAGCACACGATCGACACATAATATACTCCAGTAACTACTGGCTTACAACACAGTACAAGACACGTAATAGACTCGAGTAACTACTGGCTTACAACACAGTACAAGACACGTAATA